TTTATTGTGGTGTTCTGGAACTCAGCTCTCAATATCTCTGTGGTATACCTGTACTTGCTAATTTGTGGTAAGCAATTTCATATGGATTTCACCACCTCTTTCACAGGTGAAATAGTGCAATGCAGATTGGTGGGAAGGCACAATTGGACCCATGAGTCCCTTGCTTATTGGGTTATCCTGCCCTAGTTGGCGGTCTGAACCACCCCCAGCCCCTGTGATGTTATGGAAGAAAGTCATGATGATCTCCTTCAATAAAAATTATAGTCAAAAAGCCCTAGGAGAAGTTGTCTTCCATAGCACAGGGTCGCCAAGCGTCAGAATCAACCTGATGGCAATAGCTTTTTTTTTCTTTAAGCTATTGTTTATTATCAGGATTATGCTATAGGAAAGATCCCTTAGGCATTCGGAACAACTATAAATACAAACATTTATTAAGCACTCACTATAAGGAAGATGGGGCAATCTACTTCCGTAGTGATACCACCTCCGAAACCCAAGGAGGGGTCGCTATGAGTTGAGTCTGACTCAAAGGCACATAACAACAACAATGTGCTAAGCAATAAGCACTAGTGGTATAGTATTAAGCATTTCACTGCTATCCAAAAGGTCTGTTCAAAACCACCAGCCGCTCTGTGGGAGAAAGATACAGCAATCTGCTTCCATAAAGGTTTACATACTTAGAAACCTTCTGGGAAGTTCTCCACTGTCCTATATGGTCACTATGAGTTGGAGTTGACTTGATAACAGAGGGTTTAGGGTTTTTCCTTTTTTTTTTTTGATGTGTGTTAAGCATTATGCTAACCTCTTTACAGAGAAATGCAAGGCTTTTTAAAAAATGCCATTTATGCATTCCTGGTTCCAAAGTTTAAATGTACAGCCCAACATATTCCTATGTCCAACTGCCATTTGACATCTCCAACTGGATGTCTAATGAACATCTCAAATTTGAACATGACTAAAATTGACCTTCTGACCTTCCTCCTCAAACCCCTTCCCAGGGACCACTCCAACTTTCCAGTTGCTCTGACCCAAAACCTTGGCTCATCCTTGACTCCTCTCTTTCATTCAGATACTCATTTTTCCACTATATGGTCCACGCACTTTAGAGATGCTATTCTCTTCCCATTTCTAGAGGTGGGCCCTGATTGTCTTAAGCCAATTAGCTCATTCCATTTTCCTGGCTTTAGACCAATCAGAGTGAATTTTCAGAATTTTCTTGGGAAGATGGGAGGGAGGTGTACTTTCTCATACTGCATGTGACAGAGGAGGTCGGTAGCTTCAATTTTGATAGACAGCCATCCTTCACATGGAAGGCAAGCCATGTACAACAGAACACGGAAACAGAAAGAAAGTGGCTCTTGAAGTGGCTGGATTGACAAAACCTGAATGCCATGACCCCCGCCCCACCCACACATCTTCGGACTTTCCAAATATGTGACCCAACACATTTTCGTGTTGCTTAAGCAAATTTGAGGTCCTTGGGTGGCACAAATGGTTTGCACTTGACTACCAGCCAAAAAGGTTGGTGGTTTAAACCCATCCAATGGAGCCACAGAAGAGAGGCCCAGCAATCTGTTTCCAGAAAGATTAGAGCCAAGAAAACCCTGCGGAGCTCAGTTCTACTCTGTAACACAAGGGGTCACTATGAGTTGGAATTGAGTTGATAGCAATGGGACGTCAGCCAATTTGACTTGTCACTTTGTGTTAATGCAAATGAGAACCTCCTAAGTAATACCTATAGTCCTTGGAATGAGTCTTCATGAGTTGGTTAACTTGGATATACTCTGGTGAAATACTGAAGAGACATTTTTCAATTTCTCATATTTTCATACCTCTACACCTAAGGCATTTGACTGCTAACTAGAAGGCTGGCTGTTCAAACCCACCAGCCACTCCTTAGAAGGAAGGTTGGCAATCTACTTCTGTAGTGATACCACCTCGGAAACCCAAGGAGAGGTCGCTATGAGTTGGATCTGACTTGACTGCTGTGAGGTTTTTTTTTTTTTTTCACCCCTTTGCTTATGTTGTTCTAGCTCTCTGGTGGTGCACTTCCTACCGTTTCCTCTCAGTAAATCCCTACCCACCTTGTAAGACTATACAAATGTCCTTTTATCTTTTAGGATACTGGTTGGACATGGTCTAATTTTAAACACCTTGACCCTAGTGGCTTCATTCATTATTTCAGTAGTCAGATGGTCTTCCAAAAAATATTTCTTTTCTTTCATACTACTGCTAGGCATGTGCCATGTGCACACAACATGCAGCCCCCTTAAGATTACTAATGGGATGTACAGAGAAGTGAGCAAGTCATTATAATAGAGAAATAAGTGTCAAAATAGGGGGAAATTCTGGCCAATGGGAGTGTAGCCCCTAATCTGGCCTTAGGGGGTGTGTTAGACTGGGTTCTCTAGAGAAACAAAACCAGTAAAGCTTATATTGAGAGAGAAAAAGAAATTTATCTTAGGAAAATGGCTCACACACTTATAGAAGCAGGCAAGTCCAAAGTGCTTGGATCAAATGTCAAGCTGGAGGCTTTTCTTGACTCACACAGCTGCAGGGACTGAGGAGCTCAAGGTTGGCAGGCAGTATACTGACTGTTGACTCCAACGAATGACGAATCCAAGGTCTCCAGGCTGAATGGTGGATTGTTTGCTCATGGACAGTTGTGGGCAGCACAACAGAATCCTGATCCACAGAAGAGTGTCTCTTTTCCCAGGCTGTCCATAAATATGCTGGAAGGAGGCCACACCCCTAGGGAAACTCCCTTTCAATGGATTGGCTGCTCAGAACATATTCATCTGATTCTATCATGGGAATAACTGCATCACAACTGCTTAAACCATACAGAATTGTGGTCCAGCCAAGTTGACACACAGTTCCAACTATTACAGGGGGTGTGGGCAGTGAAGATGAGGGGAAGTTTCCTAGAAGACATGATGTCTACATTTAGATTTAAGAATCAGTAAGAGTTAAGCAGACAACAAGATAAGGGGAGGAAACATTCTAGGGAGAGTTCTTGCAAAGGCCCAGCAATGTCTCAGAGCAAAGGCTTTTTGGGGACAGTGCCAGGAGATAGAGTTTTAGGAGGAATATGGTGAGAGATTAGATGGAATCCTCTCTGAACCTCAGATCAAGAGAAACCTTGCAAGGTTCACTAAATAATGTGGATTCTGTCCTGTGGGCTATTGGGAGGACATTTGGTTTGTTCTTTGGAAAAATCCAACAGGCTACAGGGAGGAGCAGGATCTGGGAACCCACCTGGGAAGAGCCAGGCAAGTTAGGAAGCATGGTATCTGCAGAGTCCTCATTTCCTTATATGTTATCTCTCCTGGGATGTCTGATTAGAAAGAGACACAAAACTTAAAGATGATAGAAAAAGTCAGAAAAGTTGGAAGACAGGCCTGGTGATCTGCTTTCAAAAGGCCACAGCTTTGACAACCCTACAGATCAGCTCTATTCTGCACACATGGGGTTGCCATGAATCAGAATCGACTTGAAGGCACTGTCTGTCTACATGTGTGCACCAAGAGGGCAGAAACTCTGTGGAGTCCATTTTGGACCTGAAAATATACATTAAATGATCAGTATGATACCAACAATACTGTTAATGGACATGATTACAGTATAATGTAAACAATATGCCCAATGAAATGCCACAAAATATAAAGGCTATCCCTGACTTATGATGTGTTCATGTTATGATGAACTGCAGTTACAACTGTCCATTCCTTTTCTTATTGTTAGCAGTATGTACTACATAAAGCATTGCAGCAGGTAATTTGCTGATATTATCATTCTCAGATGTTCACTCCTAAATTTTCAAAACACTGCTGTATAGATTTAGTTTTCTAAACTAAACTAGAGGTTTCAGGTGCTTGAAAACATGACCCCAAATGCTGATTGCTTTGCTAAAGTCCATAGGCAGGTTCAGGGAGCAGTGAGATGTTACTGTGAAATATGTGACAAAAAAAGAAAAGAAACATACATAAAACTCTCACTCATTTTCCGATTAGAAACACTATCCTCATTCTCAGGGAAAACACAGAAGACCCAGAACCTTCTACAAATGGATTTATTACCACAACGGACGAAATGCCACTGCTGTCCATTTCTTTCCATTGTTGGGAGTAAATTTTTATTTATTTATTTATAAAATTAAATTTTTTTTTTAACTTTTTTGTGATTTGGGTGAAAATTTATAGAGTAAATTGTCTTTGCTTTCAACAAGTCAT